CAGATGTTTGTCAGACATCCAGAGAGTGGACATCTAGCGAGCGACTAGACCTTCAAACAAAGCCTTGTATGTACAGATACCCAGATACTTCGGTGAACAACCAAAACACCCACACGTTCGAAACTTTTAAAACTGATTTAAACATCTAAAGACCTCCAACAAAAGGTCCTGAACTTTGTAGATCAGTCAAATGCAGAAAGTTTAAACATCCACAGACGTCTTGAACGTTTCTGTCCAGTGCTGGGTTCCTCTCTCCTTATGTTGTCACCGCTACAAACAATGAGTGAGGAAAACAAAAAAAGTACAGCTTAGAAGGCACACTTTGAATCTGTTGAGCTGCAGCACGGACCGGCAAATTTAATGAGAATAGAGAACTGACACCTTGCAAACTTTAAACATTCAATCCGATCCATTTAGAGAAAAGAAATCATACATCATATATTTGAGCATATTTATTTGTTAAGTGAATATTAAAAGATAGTGCAGCTGGTGTTACCAGTTCTCCAATGCAGTCAATAGACTTTAAAAGATTGCCACTTGATGTCTCCTGATGAATAAAGAGATCCTGACAGAAAATCTCATGCTGGGCATTTTTGAATCTGACCAACCAAGAGTTAGCCATTTGGTTATCGTTAGATGCACCTGTTTGCGTATCCTGTTTTTCCTCTATTTCATTCTAATAGTGACCACAATTTACTAAATGAACAAATATTTTATTAAATAAGACTAAATAACAACTGAGACAGTAAACTCATTGAGAAAGTTTACTGAGATGAAGGGCGAGGAGGCAGAGAGATGATTTTGTCTATATTTCTGTGCAGCTGGGTTTGTTTTGGCAACCACAGAATTTACGTTTATGGCGATTTTCAGGCAGCCACATCCATCGTTTATGTGAAGATTGAATCACAGCTAGAACATGAGGCCAGTGTAAAACCTGCAGGTAAAAAGGGCAATGCAGGTGTTTTATTTAAATATGCTCAAGTTAAAGCAGCTAATTCAGAAGGTCTCATGTAGTGGAACCTATAAAAACCTCATGGGACTTTAAACGACGCAGAAAATGGGAGAATTTTTTTCCCCATGTATTCATGTGTGGATTGTAAATAGTTAAATAGTCCTATTATGTTGTAAGAAACTGGGACTGTTGTGGAGGGCCGCTCAGATAAGTGCGGCTCTCTACAACAGTCCAAGCTTCTTATGTGGGCCATTGGAAAAATGAATTCCCCACTCGTGCTTTGGATAATTTTAGGCATGAAATTAAGGTGAATTAAATTACACTTCTTTTTTTTTCATTAACACAGGAATTTTGTTTACAAAAAATCTCCACAAGGGCCTGTAGGCCCATTTTGGTGCATGCATGCATTGTGAAAAGTTGCAGAAGTAAAGTGGTCGTATCCCAATTGTAAATTTTATACTCAAGGGGAATTGTAAAGCCCTTGATATAATTGAGCTCCACTGTTTATTTGAAAACTTAAGTATACCCAGCCTCAATCAGTGACGTAGTCAAAGTTGAGGAGGTTGAAGGGTTAATAACCCTGCAAGAGAACAGTAGTATGGAAGAGAGCTTCTGAGTCTGAGAAAAGAGGCTTACATACCAGCTGGTCTCACAGGCGAAAAGCCACCAACAGATCCTGATCATACAAAGACACCAGTTGAATATTTCCATATTTCCTCAGCATCAGCCCCAGTGATCCTCCTGACCTCACTGACCCTAGGCCTCAATAAACACAAGAGGAAACCTCCTGGTCTGCAATCTGTGAGGTGTGTGAGGAATTTGCAGTTTATTAGTGAATCTAGCCCACTTTATTAGATGGCTTGAGTCCTTCAGAGTTCAAAAGGGTACACAAGATTTACATGTAGGTCTGATGTAAGACTAAGAAAACCAAGCACCACCAAAGCCTGAATTTGGGCAACTCAGTGTGGCAAGAATTAATTTAAACTACATGAAACACTGCTATATCACTTTGTCTCCTTCACCACCACCTTTACAATTCAGTTCAGATACAGTTTGTAAAATATCAACAGTATATGTCAGTGTACAGCAGATTGCACTGTAATTTGGTTTTCTTACTCCTCCCAATTCAAGTCCATAACCCTTGACACAGTGGGTACCTTCCTCTGTAAGTAAGTATAGCCTGTCAGTCTAATGTTTCCATTAGTCAACAATTTGTGTCCATGTCTTTTTTGTTCTGTCTGATGACAGCGATACTGACGTGAGTCGCTAACTTTTCTCTTGCTAAGAGCTGCTGTTAGCTGTTGTTTTTGTTACTGTTAGCTGCTTTTAGCCAGCACTGGTGAAACTTTCTTTGAAATAGATCAAACCTTATTGTATCCGGATACTCACTCAATAAACTGATGCAATGTGAGAATGTAACTTTTTATAAGAGGTAAAGTGTGATTTTTAAGCTACTCGAGCCTAACGTTAGCTGGCATAATTTTAGGTAATGTTAGCTAGCATTAGCTAATGTTAGCTTATAACCAGCTTTTATTGTTGGTTAGCTGGCTTCTTTTCAGCCGTCACATCTGCTGAAAAGAAGTAACTGCCACAATATTAGGAACAAATAAAAATATTTATGCGTGTTTATGTGTCAGTTCAGGAGAGGAAGTTTGAGTCAAGGAAGAGGATGAGGTATAAATGAGGGCGGGGAACGAAATCGTGAGAAAGTGAAAATGGAAATATATATGCACAAATATCAAATAGTCATGTATAGTTTGGAAGAATTAATTCATTAAATTACAAGTAACCCATAAGGTGTACTACATGTGTGCCAAGTCTCTAGCCACATACTTGGTGGAACGACAATGACCATCTCAACAACGCACAGGTTACAACCCCTGTTAATGTGCTGACATTTGAACCTATGCTTCATCAGTCACCATTTTTACATTGTTACACGAAAACTAAATAGCCATATCTGGAAAACCCACACCCCTGTAAAAGCAGTGTTTATGCAACACTACTGCATAAATCAATTGTATTAACATTCAACAATTCGTCCACAATTGTGGGAGTTCCTGCTGCAACAGGTGTCTCCCATAGCACATTTTGCCATAATGACTCACACCAGGACAGCTGCACAAGTTTAAAATCAGAAACAAAACAATACCAGCTAGACTATGACTTGGAAACAGCAGTACTGGTCGGTGGTTTAAGAAGTGAATATTACCCAGCTATCTCATATCATCACCCCTAGGGTGGGAAAAAAGACAAATCATGACCCTATCCAATGGTATTTGAGATAAAGAGTCAATTAACAGAAATCACGTTGCCTCCCTTTCCCCTTCCTTATCAATCTGACACCCTGGATTCCGTTCCAGATGATCCTTAATGTCTTCCTGCTTTATGCTCATTCCTCAGATTCACAGACAAGCTGTTATGGCTCCCCTGGCAGACTGAGTTGTTGTTTTTGCTTTAGGGCAGTTCAGTCTAAGTTTGGCTGAGTGTGGCTAACCAAACTGGCGCCATACTCACCAGGTCATCGTGAACTTTTATTCTCAAACCTCATGACGACCAATCCGCCTCACCACTAAGACTGACTAATGAAATTTAACTGCATTAAATTGGCAGCAATGGTGACAAAAACAAAGTTGTCCTTCATCAGTTTCACTATTCTGGGAAGCTATTGTAATGGAGTAACTATCATGCCCTGTCCCTATGAATTTAATGGTCGGACATAGCATTTTTTCATGTTTTTAAACCTTTGGTAAATGGCCTATATTTATATAGCGCTTTACTAGTCCCTAAGGACCCCAAAGCACTTTACATATCCAGTCATCCACCCATTCACACACACATTCACACACTGGTGATGGCAAGCTACATTCTAGCCACAGCCACCCTGGGGCGCACTGACAGAGGCGAGGCTGCCGGACACTGGCGCCACCAGGCCCTCTGACCACCACCAGTAGGCAACGGGTGAAGTGTCTTTACCTCCTTGCCTTCCCTACAGGGGATTGTGCCAAATTTAAAAACTGATTTGCGACTTAAATGCTATTTCAGAAATCAACAGAAACACAAAACATACTCTGGCAACACTTGAACTCTGGCTATCACATGTCTATGCAAGTTACACAAAGTTTAGGCCCATTTCCAAACAATTACTTTCGCATGTGACTTAACAGCATTCTCAATTATGTGTCAGAGGAAACTGATTTTCTCTCAGATTGGGGTTATCTGTTATGTTTCACAATTACTTAAGTAACTTATTTACTATTTATAGTTTAGATTTTCTAAAGTTGCCCATTTTCAGTAAACCAATAAAACGTAAGCCGGCAGCCTGGAAACCCAGAAATTACAGGTTATCCTTCCATGATGGTCAATGTAACGAAGGGTGTCTTTTAACTCAAATAATGCTGCTTTTTTTTATTAAAAAAATCAAACCAAATCCTTTGATGCCTCAAAACCAGTAAAACCTAATACTATGAAACCAAGGTAATAAGGAGGTAGATGTGACTAAGAAGGATAATCCTCAAGACTTTTATATCCTCCTGAGAACCAAGGACAAAAGAATATTCCTATTTAACTTTATTTATGATTTCCTGCCTCTTTGGAGCTAAAAGAAGCCACCCAAACACATGACATATTAATATAAAGCCCAGGATGTCCTCTGTTTAGTGCCTCAGGAGTTAGTAGGGTAGTTCAAACAAGTCAGAAGATACAGACTAAAAACAAATTCCCATTACAGAGGGCATAAATGAATAGGCCAGTACTCAGGATGATATAGCAGACAAAGGTTCAACTCCCATGACGCCCATTTTTGTTTAGTCCCAGATTCCATCAGTCCAAATTCTTTCGGGTAAAGATCAAATATGTATGCCTTAAACTAACAATTTTTTTTTAAAATCTTGAATATTTGAGCTTCCAAATCAATAAAGGTAGTATATGAGTGCTAATAAAAAATGGAAGTACTTTGGAAAATATTGAGGAATCGAGTTAAGAAATCAGTTTACACTCAACCACCATCAGATCCTTTAGAAACACCATCTCTGTCCTTCCCCCTTACCTTTAGGGATGCTGATCTTGAAGTCCAGGTCCCTCTCCTCCAGGTGGTACAAAGCGACTTCCTGTAACCTGGCTCGCTCCAGCTCCGATAGGCTCTGGATGGGAACTGGCTGTAACCGCACGCTCTGTCCCAACATGGTGGCCCACGTGTGATCCCCCTGCAGAGAAAAGAGATGGTTAAAAGATACAGAGGACACAAAAATACCTATAGAAACACAAGCCATTAATCAACAGGTACCAGATGGTCTTCAAACTAAAAAAACAAAACAAAAATCTCCACTGACATGCAATCTCTGACCATTGCCAACCAACCATCAACTACTTAAAGGCAAAAAAAAATCTTCAAAAGCAAAAACAGAGAATTCAGCTGTGAGCTTTGCTTTTATCACTGTGTAACAAGATAAAGAAAGACACCATGTTTCTTGTCAAAAAAGTCAGCGCGTTCATTTGTTTTCACTAGTCTTAAGCCTGTATTTATTTTTATTCTTAGCCTTTTATTACAAAAACCTATTGTGATGCCCTTTTTGTCTGTTGACCTTGAGATCTTTGCACAGTGAAAGCTCATTAAATCTCTGCAGACACAACCTGACCTTTTAAAAAAGGGGGAAATCCACAAGTTTAACACAGGAAGCCTGCATTTGTCATAACAACAAACCTAAATTACATTGCATATTTTATACTAAGTCTTCTGTGGCTCTAGATGAGCCTGTTTATAAGGTTTATTGGGGCCAATCTTGGTATAAAACTGCTTGATTAAAAAAAATAACTCAACTTTAGTAATTTCGAAGAATAACCCTTTCTAACTCATACAAAAAAGAAAAAACAAAACAGGAAATTAAAAACACTGTATCAAGGATTTCTACTGTTTTACTTAGTGAGGTTTAATCTACAAACATTTTCAGCTTTTTTCTGCTTGAAGGCAACATGATAATAATATTGGTGCATCAGTAAATGGAAGTACTATAAGAAGTAACCATTACCAACTGCAACTCCAGATTAGCCTGCTTTACTGTATCTCATATTGATAAAATGTTATTAATCTAAAGGTATTCCGATTTCTTTAAATCTATCTTTGCTTAGAGCCTAGATACCCCCTTAATTCTCTAGCAGGCTGCCAAACATCTTCATAGCGAGCACTGGCTAAAGCTGGAAAATATTAAGATTATACAACAGTGTACAAACAGGACCTGATCTTGAATGGACAACAGGGAAATTAAATCTGCTTTTAAAAATGAGTTTTCACCATTCCTCATTTAAATATTTATCTTCTGAAACAATATTCAAAAACTCACCACACTATC